TGAGGCGGAAGGATCGCCCGCCGGAGCCCAGCAGCTCGAGGCTGCGGTGGCCGGGAGTGGCCATTGCACTCCAGTCTGGGCGACAGAGGGAGACTCCAAATCAAAAAAAAAAAAAAAAAAAAGAAATACAATGAAATGAAAAGGAATCGCTGCATAATCTGATCACCTGTTCCTTGTAGCAATAAGCTTGTGGTCTCATTGTCTACAGAAAGAATAGAAAAGTAAAATGTGTTGCTTATTGTTGACAGTTTCGAAGAATTTCTCTCTGCTATCCAACTCATTATTGGTGATGTCATGTGCCTTTTTAAGATTGCTGTCATATTGAGAAGCCTTCTATCACATTTATTTGGGACGTGAGCAATTAAAGACTCACTCTCCATTTGTAGTACTGGTATAGGTTTGTGTCCATACCATATGAGCACAGAAATTCTAGTCAGTTGCAATGTACCCCGTTCTCATCTGTGGGTCACCTCCCTTGCCACCTCTGCACACAGCCACAACCTCGGTGGTCAGTCTGCCTAAGCCCAGACCCACCTGTGCTCTGGCATCTCAGCTCTGGCAGGCACATCTTTCTACACTCTGCCTCAGGAGCTCACTTAGCACAGCCCAGAGTGGAGGACAGTTAACACCCCAGGGGGAACGTGAAGGCAGTGCATAAACCTATCAGCCTCCTTTGTCAGTGGTCAGTTTGGGGAGGCATTCCATACACTTTTCAGGGTCCCAACAGAACCAGTCTCCTTTGCTCACAGCAGCGACTGCCTTAACAAATCCTTACACCAACCCTCCCTCCTTCCCACCTCGTTTTCCAGGCTCCCTCATTCCTGCTTCCTGGGGTTGCTTCCCAAATGAACCACCTGTACCCAAATCTTCTCCCAATAAAGACAGAATGACAGTGTAGGCATAACTGGATATGCATTACCATCGAGTATATTCCTGTCAGTGAAACACTTCCTTTGTGACCGGGTGTCAAGGCAAACCAAATCTCCGCTCATTGCCACAGACTGGCTCCATGCACCACACACCTTGTTACACCACCATACACCTACTTTCATAGTGTGTTAGGACCACTGACCCTACACCTTTGTCATGATGCTGGTGGGCAATAGTAGTGTACCTGGGAGCCCTGCCTACAGCAGAATGGCTAGCAAAAACCGCCTTGTGTGGCTGGGCTCAGTGGCTCAACTTGTAATCCCAGCACTTTGGGAGGCTGAAACAAGAGGATTACCTGAGCTCGCAGGTTTGATACCAGCCCAGGCAACTTGGCAAGACCTCATCTCTACAATAAATTTAAAAACTGGCCAGGCGTGGTAGTGCACATCTGTAGTTCCAGCTACTTGGAAGGCTGAGGCAGAAGGATCGCTGGAGCCCAGCAGGTCGATGCTGAGTTGACGGTGAGTGTGCCACTGCACTCCAGCCTGGGCAACCGAGTAAGACTCTAACTCAAAAAAAAAACAAACAAACAAGAAAAACCTCCCTGTGCATGGAAATGACTTCAAACCACACAAATATCAACAGAAACACAACCTAAATGGATCTCCATTTCAACTTAGTGTCAGCTAAGAGGGGTCCCAAGAATTCCCATGGCCACTCCAAAGCCACCAAACCTAAGAGAAAATATGACAAAGAAGGAGCAATTGTGTTTAAAATATCTTACTTTTGTAAATTGTACAAAGCATATGACCATGTGAATACATTTCTAGAGTCCCTTTCAGGGCTTTGGAAGGGACCCTCAAAGGTCATCTTTATTAGGCTTATGGCGAATCCACCTCTGCTCACAAGATTAATTTGCCAGGTCATGTGAGCTTCAGTTGGGGGGGGTGGGCAAAACACATAAAATATTGTCAATCCATTTATTTCTGTCACATGGGAAAAATTCTTGGTTCAGCAAACCCACCAAAACCTGAAGGCAGGCCAACAAGGGACACCAACATATTGTCGGGATGCTGGTTGCTTCAAGCAGAAAATAAAAACATGAGAATAATGCAAGAAGAATGACTTGAAAACTGTGGGGCCTAGAGGTGTGGCGCTGTGAAAACCTGGTTTATCCATCTTCTCCTGAGGGACACATCTGCTTATAGGATTTTGGTAATCACATTACCAACGGGGTGACTAACGAGTACTTCCCTGTGCTCAGAAATGACTGCAAACCACACTGATATCAACTGAAACCCAACCTAAATGGATCTCCATTTCAACTTCTCCTTAGCTTCACTTAAGAGGGATCCCCAAAATTCCCATGGCTACTCCAGAGCCACCAGAACCAAGGGTGAATAAGGAGAACAAGGAGAATAAAGCAAGACGAATGACTTGGAGGCTGTGAGGCTCAGAGGTATTGGGCTATGGAAACCCAGTTTATCCATCTCCTCCCAAGGGATGCATCCACTTATAGGATCTTAGCAATAGCATTCCTGGTTTTGGCATTTTGACATCTCATGTTATTTTTAAGCACCAAAATATCAATATTTGTTTGAGTATGGCTTTGTTGACTTTTTAATCTGAAATCTTAATCGTTCAGTCTCAAGATATGCCCAAAGAACACTGCACTAAAATGGTGTCTTTTTTTAGAAAGAATTCTATCCAAACCCTCCCCTGTTTCAAATGCTTCCAAGGTAACTTTTTGCCATTCTAATCACTATTTCCCAGAAGAATAGTGAAGTTGATACTCTTATATTGCTTTTGCTGTTGGAGGGGAGAGAGAACTAGTTTCAGGCCCTGAACTTTTTCCAGAAGGCCCTGAAGGACTGAAGTTATTTTTTAAAGTTGGAGAAAACAATAGAGGGTGGATAGGAAGATTCTGAGGATAAAGAGAGGGGGTCCCCAAGCATGACCACCTCCTTACTCCCACTCTACATGTCTTTTCTGTCTCTGTCACTTCCCACCCCTCCAAAAAGCTGTTTAAATTATCTTAGACCAGATCCCCCCATGCCACTCTTGGGGAATATTATAAGCAGTTCCATCTGGATCCCATCAGGCATAGAGGTGCCTAAATCCTGAGCCCTGACATTACACTGAGGCATAGCACCAAGGAATTGAGGGGTAGAAGAGGATGGTGAGCTCATCTCATTTTTTTAGGAAACATCAACACATAAGTACTAAAAGCAAATTGATACTAACTACCACTACTGTCTGCACAAGAACTGGAGTCTGAGACCCTGCATCAGTAGCCCGAGGACGAGGTTCATCCACTTCTTTTCCAGACCAGTCCACTCATGTTCCTCCTTTGAGATTCAAACAAGTTTTTTTTCTGTGAGTTGGAAATATTGTATCCCTACTTTGCATACTTCTTATAATCTCTGGGCATTCAGAATGTGCACGGTAACTTTGAGAAGCAACTCCTACCCCGTATTTCCCTGCTGCTGCCCCTCGAGCTACTGTCTTCAGTCTTGAGTTTTTCAGAATGGTGGCATTTGAGGACTGTCCTCTCAGAGGCACCTGAAGGACTTTCCTGGGGTGACATGCCATCCTCCCAATCCCCATTCCCTAGTTCCCCCATTCCTAGAAGGACCTTATGGTGAGAAGCACCAGAGTTGAACTGAAGGTCTATGAGATAGGACCCTGACCAGCGAAGTTCAGTCCTATATCCATAGCCGCTAACACAATGCCTGGCCACCTATAGATACTCAAGAAATAGGAATGAATGAATGAATGAAAGAGGAAAATTTGTGTTGCTCTCTGGGTCACACATTGTTATTTCTTGCTATTTCAAACCAACGACAACTACAAAGTGGCCTCTTGTTTAACACAT